TCAGATTATGGAGGACATTTTAGTGTTCAGAGAACAACTTCTAAAATTTTACAAAGTGGATTTTACTGGCCTACTCTTTTTAAGGATACCCGTAGTTTTATTGAGAAGTGTGATAAATGTCAAAGGGTAGGAAATATTTCACAGAGAGATGAGATGCCTTTAAATACTATTTTGGAAGTTGAAATTTTTGATGTGTGGGGTATTGATTTTATGGGGCCATTTCCTTCGTCTTTTTCAAACCAATACATTTTAGTTACAATGGATTATGTTTCTAAGTGGGTCGAGGCTAGGGCATTTCCATCAAATGATGCCAAAGTGGTGATTTCTTTCGTTAAGAAACACATATTTTCTAGATTTGGGGTGCCTAGAGCAATCATTAGTGATGGAGGTTCACATTTTCATAATAAGAAATTTGCATCACTTCTAGGAAAATATGTTATCAACCATAAGATAGCAACCCCTTACCACCCACAAACTAGTGGACAAGTTGAAATTTACAATAGAGAATTGAAGAGAATTCTAGAGAAAGTAGTGAGTTCATCTAGGAAAGATTGGTCTAGGAAATTAGATGATGTACTTTGGGCTTACCGTACAGCTTTTAAAACACCGATTGGAATGTCTCCATATCAATTGGTATATGGGAAATCATGTCATTTACCGGTGGAATTAGAGCATAAGGCATTTTGGGCTATAAAATTCTTGAATTTCAATTTAAAGAATTCAGGTGAAAAGGGATTATTGCAATTGGATGAATTGGAGGAATTTAGACTGCAGGCCTATCAAAATGCTAACATTTATAAAGAAAGAACGAAAAAATGGCATGATAAAAGGATTGTGAATAAAGAGTTTACTCCAGGACAACAGGTGTTGTTATACAATTCTAGGCTCAAACTTTTTCCAGGTAAATTAAAATCTAGATGGTCTGGTCCCTTTGTGATTAAGCAAGTATTCCCATTTGGTACAGTTGAAATTTTAACTCTCAATTCAGAAAAAAAAATTTAGAGTATATGGTCAAAGATTGAAAAGGTATGTTGGTGGTGAGTTTGAAAAATATAAGGCATGTGTTTCATTAACATCACCATGTAACAATCATTCTGATTGAAAAAATAATAATAAAAAAGTAAAAAAAAAATTAAAAAAAATATTTATTTTAGAAGAACAGAACCCTAAGACATATTTGACGTTGGGGGTTTCTTTCATTCTCCTTAGTGCGGCACACCCACCTTGTTCCATACTCCTCTTCCACTCCGTCACTTCACCATGTCAACTCAGATAAAGATCTGCTGCTCAGGCCGTTGTAAGGTCCACACTGGCACCAGCAACGCAAATCCCACGCCATCTCGACTGTTCAAGCGGAACCATCTCCGATATTAGGGACTTCGACCGGAAAACGGTCGCAGTCTTCTTTTCCCTCCGATGACAATGTCCATGGCATTATTTGTATTTGCGAGAATGAAGAGCAAAAACAGAGGATGATAGTATTGCTGCTGTTAGGAAATCAAAATTATTATTCTTATGGGGGATGGTCAACGATGTTCAACTGGATTCATATTCATGGTTAGCTCATCAATTCACTAAGATAGGAAAAGCTTCATCAGGACAAATAGCAATTGGTAGATTGATAACTCCAATCGCATTACATCTCAACATTCCTTTGGAAGATGATAAGGCAATAGTCGGGACATCTCGCATTGATTTAGAGATGCTGATAAATAACGAAATGTTGGTCAAACGAGATGGTCACTATTGTTTAGTAATGAATTTTGTTGAAGACATGTCACCACAACCACTTCCTAATCCAAAATTTACTACTGTGCATGGTCTTGCGAGGTGGACATTTTCAGATTTGAATTCCCACAATACCTCTCATCCTCGCCCTAATCCACCCTCGACACTTCCTTCTGTTTCCCTTGATTCTCATGTTGACATGGTTACTCGCATCACTCAATCACTTGCTGATCTCCGCACTCAACACCAACGTCATTATACCGAATTCGTGCAGTTTTGGGATTCTCAACTTCTTCATCAATAACGCATGGAACACTTGCTCCAAGAGGTGATGGAATTCCTCCGCTCTGACCAACCATAATTTTGTGAGTTCTATCCCTTCTAATTCCAAGACAACATCAACATTTAAGCTTGGGAGGGTCAATTGCATGTCATTCTATTGTTACATTTGCATAACATATACATTGAATTGGGAAGTCATTATCTTAACTCAAGTCTTAAGTTTGTTCAGTGATATTTTGTGAAACATACTATGGTTATCTGTCATGATTATTTGTTGGGAAACTTCACACACTACACAGGAAGTCTGGACACTATGACACTTAAAGAAGAAATTTTTTGAGTCATAGAGTAAAAAGGATATGAAAGTTTTTAAAAAAATATTTAAGTTTCTATGGTGACACTCACTGCATTTGGTTACTGGAAAATTGTCTGTTAGTTCACAATAATTTATAAAAAAAAATAAAAAAATAAAAAAACATAATAAGTGAAATGACACCCCTTTGAGACTGTGTGAGTTATTGGGGAAGGAGACACTCCTATGAGATCGGGTGTGGCAAGTGCAAAGCATTTTAGTGGAAGATCCATGTTTAGTTGGCAGGTAATTGTCTTCTAGGCCAAAACCTAAGAAAAAGTTTTGTAAAGAGAAAATAAAGCTCAAAGATTGTCTTCCTTGATGTCTTGTGCCTTACATCCTTTCCTCAACTCACTCAGGGACCCCAACAATTGTGGAATAAATACTTTTGGAATATCATTGATTGAATTTGGATTTGAGACAAGACGATGTATTCCCAATAAAAAACACTCATCATTTTGTTTGCATTATCATCCTGTTTTTATTAAATTCTCTTTGCTTGAGGACAAGCAAAAGTCTAAGCTTGGGAGAATTTGATGAGTGGATAAAATATCATTACATTCATGCATTAATAATTTCATATGTTGTTGCATTATGGGAACGATTTCATCATGCATTATCGTTGTTTTGGATCATACATGTTGGTTTGTGCATTGTTCTTGTAAATAGGTGTTTGGAGGTTTAAATTCAAAGTTTGGGGGGAGTTGGTGTCAAGATAGAAAGATTTCAGATCAGCAAGTTCCACAGGTACCTTGTGAAATGTTTCACAACCTGTGGATTTGATACCAGAATGCAAAGATCAAGATCAGAAAGCTCCACAGGTTGATTGTGGATTTTTCCACAGTCTGTGAATTAGACTCTAAAAGATTGCACGAAGTCAGAGAGCTCCACAGGTGAGTTATGGATGTTTCCACAACCTGTGGATTTGTGGTTCAAAAGGCATAGTTGAAGTCAGAGAGTTCCACAGGTGGGTTGTGGATTTTTCCACAACCTGTGGAAATTCAATACGGTTATGAGAAGTGGTAACTACCTCAACAAGTGGAGAAAAAACGTGGGACACCCTATAAAGAAGATGGAACGAAACTGAAAAAGGGGAACTGGACAACCATTCTGAAATTTTACGTTCTAGTTATTATCTTTTAGCAATTTTTACATTATGCAGAACTGATTTTCTTTTTTGTTAGAGGATTGATGTAGTACTCTAAATTACATTTTCTTGTTCTTGACAATTGATGTTTAGTTAATGTTCTTCATCTTAGTGCTCTATTTATAATTTTTAAGTTCATTCCACGAGCAGTTTCACAATTTGGAGATTGGAGGTTGTTCGCGATCCTAAATATAACAGATTAGGGTTTGTCACAATTGGAAAATTGGGCATATATCTAATTAGTTTGCAATAGAGAAGATTATTGTTTTTTCATGATTCTATTGAATGACGTAACTGACCTAAGGGATTGGGGGTTCGGATTCAATGAATAGTTTTGCCTACTAAGGGATTAGGGGTAAAACAACTCTGGGTAAACTCAAGTGGTTAATTACATTTCTTGCATCAATTGAAAGGACTAGAATTATATAGGAAAGGGTATGAAATCAATTCTCTAACAGATCTTATCTTGACTAAAGTTCTTATTATCATTCTATGTTTGTTTGTTTTTTTTCAAATTTTCAATTGCTCAAACTTACGTAAATTAAGAATCTAGTATTCAACAAATTCAATCCCAAAGGACGATATTTTATTACTACGTTAACGATTAGTGCACTTGCCAAACGTTCATCAACAGGTTAGAAAAGTTTATCAATTATCCAATAAGATGAAAACCGCCAATATTTCCGTAGTCGTTATGCTGCATGTTTCTATCTTACATCAAGTGCTATGATGCACGTATACGTTGAAAAGTCCAACATATACGTTTCCGATACTGATTCACCCCAAAAATTCATATCGAAAACGAATCCAAAAAATCAAAAAATCCAAACAAAAATAAAATCAGAATAACAAATATTTTTCTGTTATTATTATTGTTAAATTAATCAAAACATATTTCAATTATTTAAATACGTTGTATCTCTTTTTCAACATTTTATTTTGAGAACTTACCATTTTATGTAAAAAAAAAATCCAAACAAAAATAAAAACAGAATAACAAATATTTTTCTATTATTATTATTATTGTTAAATTAATCAGATTTCAATTATTTAAATACTTATCAAAACACATATTTCAATTATTTAAATACGTATCTCTTTTCAACATTTTATTTTTCAGAGAGCCTATAATTTTATGTTGTTGTTGCCGTTTGTTTCTCCTTGATTTTCTATCGCTCCCTCCATCACGGGTTTATTTCTTATCTATTCCGGCGTTTGTTTTTTTTGCTTCCTTTATCTTCCAACCTAAAACTTAGTACTTTTTTTTAGCGTATTCTAACGTGTAAGATTGCTTTCCTTTTTTTAGTATGTGTAACAGCTCTAACTTATAGAGTGTTCCAGCATGAGTTGATATTATATATACTATTTTTTTATGAATTTTATATATATACACATATCTTAAACATATCGTATCCTATATTTTTAATATATCGGATACGTATCATATCCGATACATGCATCATAGGTCAAGTGAGAAAGTTAAAGTTGTACTCACTTCAAAGCCAAATCCTTACTAAGAAGACCCGATGGTATTGTTCCAGATAGCATGTTATTTTGCAAATACCTGCAAATATTATAAGCATTGCCTGAATCTTATAAAAGAAATATGAAACTAAAATACAAAGCATAATAACTTATTTATTATTTTTAAACATGACTCCAGTCTCTAGGGTCATCAACAAAATGGTACTAATTTTAGTGGATATATTATTCTATTTAAGATCATAATTAGATGTATCAGAATATCTTAAGTCTAGAGAGCTTACAATTCCCTCAAGCTTGGAAGGTTCACTAAAGAACTTGGGAGCACACCCGTCAATTGATTGTTTTCAAGATGACTGCAAAAGAAAAAGGTTACAGCTAGCTAACTACTACAGAACATGACAAATAGGAAGGAAGATAGCAATGATTACATGATCTTCAAGTCCATGCACCCAGTAAAATCTGGTAATGGGCCAGTCAACATATTTCCATCAAGCCATCTGCATCAGAGGATTAAGTCGTATCAATACCACAATACAAGTTCAATGACCAAACATAAGACATTGACAACTCAGTCCAGAAAAATTAAAAATTAAGATGAAACTTACAGTTCAACCAAACCAACCAATTTGGTGATATCCAAAGGAATATTCCCAGTCAAGTTTCTATTGGATAACAAGCTGTCACCACCAGGAAAAATAAATTACTATTACAAGATCACTTAAGCTTCTCTTTTAAGTTTTAAAAGATATATAGTAACATTTTTTATAATAAGCACACTGCACTTTTCTTTTCCCTTTTATTTTTTGCAAGAGCAGAACCCAAGGGCCAAATTAAAAACATAAAAAAGATTAACCTTTACATTGAAACTATTCTTGGCTGTGGATCAGAGTTACATTGGACCCATGACCATGGAACAGGTAGACATGGATCACCACCTTCGTTCGCCCAGTCTGCTGCAGAGTAGTGCGAAAGTACACTGGAAATAGTTGCTCCTGCAAATCGTCCAATTCACATAGTACATATATTACAATTTTCTTATGCTCTAAACAAGACCTAACTAGTAATTGCATTACAACAGGCATGCTTGTTAAAGAGGCACTTAACACAGTTGTCAGTTAGTAATAAAACACATCATCCAGTAAGGTAGCCTCTTATTAAGGGACTAACCATCTAGAGAGCCATCATTTTTCTCCAAATACATGTTTATCTCCATGGCATTTAGGAGAGGTCCCCTAGAGGAATCATATGTCTTGCCAAATCTAAAAGAGAGCACAAAAGGTAGGGATATATTGGTAAATCCTGGTTCATAAAGGCGATATTTCCCTTGAGCGTTTTCTTCAATATTCACAACAGCCTTGCTAATATCAGGCTGGCCTGGAAGTACTAGCCTGAATTTTCTGGACTCATTGGGACCCAAATCTTCAATCTCTGCAAAATAGGTGAATGCCCAACCAGTACCAGGAAAACCATCCAAGTTTAATCGGTAAGTTAGAGAACCATTAGTACCCACTACAGCTGTCTGCATCACTTTCACTGGTGGCATTTCATCTCTGTTAACATCAATTGGTGCTTTTGTAGAAATTTTATCAGTTCCAGCAGCAACATCTACAAGATAATTAGCTTTCTTCACAGAATCCGACTCCCAAATTCTATCAAAAGGGTCATCAGGGTACCTGAAACGGAAGAATTATAAACTTCTTAAACCACAGGAAACTGTTTTGAAATCACAAAATAAGATACTCACAACACGCCTAATCAAGTACATAGTTATAGAAAGAATCTATAAAATATTTTTTTGCCATGAAGAGTTGAAGACCATTACAGTCAATTGATAGCTATATTTTACCCAGTGAATATGGATATTAATATGCAAGTCTGTGTATTAATTTTTTTCCAAATAGGTGGAACAATATGATTCATTAATTGATCATGTAATAATCACACACTCATCATCGAAACTAATCCATATCCACATGAACTTAACAAAAGATTCATTAGAAATATTAACGTGTACCAGAACACATTACAAAGTAGCATGTCGAATGGCTTAAGGTACCTAATTGGAGCATCACTCTCTGCACCAAAATTTATCCTTGCAGATACACTAAGGTAAAAATGTTCCTCGAATTGTGTATAATAAATTGAACCATTGAATTGGCGAAGTTCAAGCGTAGATATGAATGGTTGTCCGGTTGTTGCATTTGATAAGCAAACAGTCACTGTAGGAGTTGAAGCCAAAAATATAAGCTCTCGCATTTCTATACTGTTGGCATCCGATATAACAATAGTAGACCAGTGTGTAGCCCCAACAGAAATGTCAAATTTTGGATAAACATTGTTATTGTCAAAGTTCCCATACAAGAAAGAGGCCCTAAGTAGATACCTCGTCCTACTCACAACATCAAGTGTGTAGCAGTATTTCCTGGAATCAGCAGGAAAATGTCGAAGTGTCGTGTATTGCTTCCGTGTTTCATTTGCAACTGATACAGTACTAATTGTTCCATAAGTAAGCTTATCATCAGGAGTCCACTGAAGACCAATTTCATCGGTGAATTTTGTTGTACCTCCACAGTCCAAACTTACAAAACCTGCTTAAGATGACATGTTTTTTTATTCATTACAACCTAGATGATTCAGATTAATTCCAAACTCTTAACACACTAATTGAATTACAAAACAAATCAAATAAAATATACTTTGCTGAAAAATCCAAGAGATTAATTGCCAGTAAAAATACAAATCAGAGCAATTAAAAGTTAAAACTAAATGTTCTTAACAACAACACCTTATTAGAAGTTTGTAAAAACAACAGGATATAAGGATTTTAAACCATCATAAAACTTAATCTGAACGGATCTCATATCCAACTAAACCGGTATGAATCAACATCATTAACGCTTAGATCTTAGTCTATTTTGCAATCCAGTTTATTGTTTAGGTATGCACTGCGCGAAACCGTCAATAATCAAAACTATCATTCTAAAAAAGGATGGTTAATAAAGTTATTTTGCTCCACGGGATTTGAAGAATAAACCATAAAGACATTATTTTTTTAGAAAAATAATGATAAAAGAAACAGCTAAGGAGTTCCAGACATCATATTTGCATCCAAAAAAGAACAACATAAGGCACAGCACAGAGACGAAAACAAAAGGCAGAAATATTAACAAACGGAAAAGTAGCGGCAGGGAACACAAAACTAAGATAACCACTAAAACATTACATCATTAGCAGCAGCATAAATAGAGGTGATGGAGTAGAAACTGCTTGGAGTTGAGTAAAGAAAATGAGAGAGTAGAATGAAGAAAGAAAGATACCTTGCATAATCTGAGCAAAAGAAAAAGGTAAGTGGAGTAGGAATGAGAGTAGAAACGTAAGAGAGGAGAGGAAGAGTAAAGTACTCTCCATCTTCTAGGATGCTAGGCTTTGCTGAGATGAAACCATAAAAAATGGCTGAACAGAATCGAGTGAAGAAAGTGAACAAGTCTCGAAGTTCTTCTACATCACTGGGAGGGAGATGCACACGATACCATAATAGAAAGTTGGCATCGCTTTCCCTGTTACTCGCATTCTTCTACACTAAATAAGAAAACAAATAATGTAACGAAAAGACGTGCGTGATATTAAAAAACCATTTAATTTTTAAAATTTTATTGTAATGTATAATTTAATGATAATACTATACGCGTAATTTAATGATTTTTTTAGAAAGAAAAGAATAAATAATAAGTATAAAAATTAAATTTTTAAAAGGTCAAAATTTGAGATAAAAAATGTTTCTCCATTGGGTTTTTTATCTGTCTCTTTTCCCATTAAATTGGATAGATTTAGGAAGAACATATGCACAGTGGCTACGCAACACAACAAACAAAACAAAACATGTTTCACTTTTGAGTATGGTATTTTGTATTTTATCTGTAGTTTGTGGGGGCGTGGGTCCCGCGGCTTGACGACACAGTGTCATATGAGGACCCACGTCTATGATGAAGTGCCAGAGAGACTCGAGTCAGAACCATCGCTCGCGTGACTATATTACATCATCATCGTCTTCTTGGTCAAATTCACCGTTTCCAAAGGATTTTTCTTGTCTAGGCTTCACAATTTTTTCTACATCAAATAGCAAAACTAATGTAAATTGATCCTTAATCTTTATACGTTTATCTTAAACAGTTGTTTATTCTATGTTAAGTAAGGTTGGTTTCATTTTTATGCACTTAATTTTGAATGCTTTTATTTTTCCATCAATAATTTATTTTCCTCTATATAAGACCATTTAGGTATATGATGGTAGACGATAGAGTAGACTGTCAATATACGATTATGTATATTAAACTGTGCCATAAACCATCTCTTAAATCGTCTAGTAGAATTGAAGTACGTAAATTATGTCTAACCTTCTTTTTCTGTTACATTAAATGTTTATATATAAAGTCATAGATATTACCTAAAATTCCTTTTTTTTCTCTCTCTTTATGAATGTAAATCTAAATTATTAATATTTTAGGAAAAAATATATCTGAAATATATCTTTCCCAAAAAACTTATTAAAGTTATGAATTTTTCTACATAGTATAAAACTCTCATAAATATTAAGTTATTCCTTAGTTCTTAATTGCAACATGATGACCCATGAATGCTTCAAATTTTGAAATTTTGTTAAATAATCAAAGATTATCCGTATCATTATATATATTAAGTTGCTTCGAAAAGTTTTTAAGAAAAAATATATTATTTTAATATAAATCTCATGTATGTAATTTTTGTAAAGAAGAATAAACAACGTGGGTGTTAGCATGATGCCAAGAAATAAAGTGGCTTGCTCATGTTAACAAATATTATTGAATAATGGAGGGATTTGTTGAAAAAACAATAATAATAATAATAATCCTGATTTTGATTCTAACGATCAAATATAAACACAATCTCATACTCATAAACATGTTGTAAACTGAATGCGAAAGCGTACCTAAATTAGCCATAACGATGATGTCTTTATAGAGCACTATATTGATTTTATGGTCTTCCACCTGAAGAGCACATGTATTTCCCTCTTGATTTTCTCTCTTGATGGGGATAGAAAGAAAGGAACGGGACTGATACTTACGTTCTGTGTGTGCTCCCAGAAGGGGACCACGACCCCTTAAAATAATCAGAATTAGGTTAATTACTTAAGTTTTAGTATTTCCAATTTGGCCCCTCATCAAATTAGAAATTGCTCTATGATCTCTACACAATTTTATTTTCATGACATATGTCTTTAGCCAAAACTTTAATTTAGTCAGATCACTTTATTATTTGACTTAATAAATAATGACCCTAATACATTTAAATTATATATCATATATATACATGACCCAAATTTTGCCAACAATTTCCCACTGGTCACAAATATATATGTCCTTACAACCTTACAAATGTGTTAGACTTTATGAGCTCAAAATTGTCATTATATTCCTTTAGCATACTCCAAAAGTCCTGTCCATTAATCATATCAGGATATAGAACCAAACCAGTTTTTCATTGCATCATCGCAACTAAAACCAACAATGATTACCCATCCTAACATAACCAAATGACATGGATTCATCATGAAATGTGTAGCATGAAAAATTACGTGAAGGTGATCTGTACACGTCTATTTTCAACTGGTCCAAACTTTAACTTATCGATATCGATATAATATCCTTAATGTACAAAGTGTAATGAATGAACGAAAAAACCGCATATCTATAGATAACCAAATATGTCCAAAAATCAATGTATACATATATGAAATTAAACATAGAACATAAAATATATAAAAGTAACTAACTCCCACTAAACCACAAATTCCTCAAACTGTAAAACACCCATGTGAGCAATATGCTCATGAAAGACCTTGGGCGGAAGTCCTTTAGTTAGAGGATATGCTATCATGGAGTTTGTCCTTAAGTATTCTATGAAAATCTATCCACTTTGTACTCTTTTCTTAACAATACAGTTGATTTATTGTCACAATATAACTTAAGTGGTCTTTCAATGTCTTTCACAATTTGCAGCCCTGTGACAAAATTTCTCAGTCATATTCCATGATTTGATGACTCATAGCATGTTACAAATTCTTGACATCCTACAAAATCTGAGTCAGAAAACTCAGCGATCTCCAACTGGTCTGACCTCCTATATGTGAGCATATAATCTTTTGTTCTCTTTAAATATCTTATGACTCTTTTTGCTCCTTTTCAATGGTCTATTCCTGGATTGCTTAAATATCTGCTTAGAACCCCAACTATATATGCTATGTCTGGATGCGTACATACTTGGGCATAGATCAAACTCCCTACAACTGATGCATAGGGAATCTTTTGCATTTCCTCAATTTTCAAATTCCCTTTGGGCACTGATTGAGACTAAACTTGTCTCCCTTTAAACTTGTGATACATACAATCATCAACAATATTCATTTGAAGCCAAATGAGTTTCATACCTTCTTGTAATGGGACAAGTTCCCAATAACCTTATTGTCTTGCATGGACTTATACTTATCATATTGCTTCAATCCACTTTTGAGAGTTAGAACCTTGTATAACTTGACAGAAGTTAACTGGGTCATCTTCTATTATATCATTATTTTCCTCATGTTCCTGAATAAATATCATGTAATCATCCAAAATAGCACTTCTTCTTTCTCTAGTGGATCTCTGCAAAGTTATTAGCTCATGATGCACAGGTTCTTGAGGATCTTGAGTTTGTTCTTCATGAACAACCAAATCATCATGAGTAAAGGGTTCATCAACAATGCCTTGTGCAGGTTCCGAACTTACTTTATCAAAAGTAACTATTTGAATCGGTTCTGAAATTGTTACCGATTCTTCCTCCAAGATGAAGTTCTTAATCTTATTCTTCCCCCCAAACTCAATATCCTCAAAGAACGTAGCAGTTCCCGTCTCAAAAAATTGTCTTTAATATGGGATCATAAAATTTATATCCCCTGGATCTTTCAGCATAACCAATAATATAATCACTTACTGTTCGGGAGTCCAATTTCTTTTCATTTGACTTATAAGATCTTGCCTCAGCTGGACAATTCCACACATGGAAATGCTTCAGACTAAGTTGTCGCCCAATCCAAAACTCATAAGGTGTTTTGGTAGCTGCTTTAGTTGGTACTCTGTTTAGAATATAAGTTGTCGTATTTAGTGTCTCTCCCCAAAGTGATTATAGTAAGGTGGAATGATAAATCATACTCTCTACCATATCTTTAAGAGTGTAACACAAGCTCAAATGTCACGATTTAATTGTGACCTGAGCACTTGTGCCATAATGCACCTGAATGAGTATTTTCAATTTTACGTTTAGTACCACGTGATTCTGTATTAAGGGTTTCATTATAGGTGGCCACAATATCAAGTAAATACTGATTATCATAAATCAAAAGTGAACCAGTTCCAACAATATCTCGGATTAAAAGACAAACTCGAACTTATTGTTTCCAAATGAACACAAATAACATAATTTGTCCCAATAAGAAACCGAAACCAAATTCCGTCTAAATGACTGGCACAACAAAAGTGTCTTTCAAATCCAAATAAAAAATCGAGTACTCAATAACAATTTAAAATGTCCTATAGCTTCCACCTCTATCGATTTACCATCTCCAACATAAATCCATCTTTCAGAATCAATTGGCTTCTGGTAGTTTAGGCAACCCTTTCTTTTCACGTCAAGCATGATATTTATCACATTTCTTCTTTATGTGTCCAGTCTTATTGCAAAAGAAACATTTGTTTTCTTGAGATTGTTTCTTTTGTTCTGGACCCTTAGCAGCTTCTTTCTCGAGATCCTCTGATCTCTTTCTTTTGACCTTAGCAGCTTCTGAAATTTCATCTTGAGTTTATGTTACCTTAAATTGATTAAACGTTGCAGGAAGAGAAATCAACACCAAATGAATGAGCAAGTCTTCTGAGAGTTCAAACTTTAGTGCCTTGAGTTTAAAAACAATATTAGACATGCTCATAATGTACTCCCTGATATTTTCTTTGCCTTGATATTTCATGGAGATCAAGTTTTGAAGAAGAGTGCTTGTCTCCGCCTTATCACTTTTTGCAAAGCGCTGCTCAATTTCAGCAAGAAATTCTTTGGCACTTGTGATGTTTTCAGAAACAGTGCCCCTAAACACCTCCGGGATGTCACGCTTAATGATCATTAGACTCATGCGATTTGAGCGATCTCACTTCTCATAATCTCTTTTCTATTCATAGGTACTTGAATCCGTAGGAGTAGGGGGTTGCTCAGTCCTTAACGCAAGATCCATATCCATGCAACCAAGAACAATATCAATGTTCTCTTTCCAGTCCTTAGAATTTGTTCCATTGAGGACCTGAACGTAATTTAAATTAGCAGATACATAAGAAATTGTAGCTTAATTTAGAACACGAGAAATAAACTAATTATGCTCACATTATATAAAAAATAAAAAATATATATTCAAATAGTGGTTTAACCCATCTCAAGACACCCAATGCACCATCAATATCAAGTCTTTGGACAAGTAATATTAACTGTTAGAGGTATCTTGTTGTAATAATCAA